AAGCATCATTCCAATGTAATTTTATACTCAAATCTTTTTAAATGTGCTAATGTACATTAGTGGATTTCAACAATTGTACTTCCTCATTATGTATCCAGTATCGCACACAAAACGCAATGATTGCACTTTCCAGTACATCCTGCAAAGCACTTTAAGAGTACTCCAGACATGAAAGGCACTATATTAAATGTAAGGAATATTATTATTATCATCATCATCAGATAAGGTGAACAACGTAATTGAGAGCTTCCCTTTTGTAGAATTATTTCTTGCAGGGTTTAAACTACTTTAGGCAGTTTAATGGCAGTAAATGGTTACATGGCAGAGTGGAAATCTGATAAACAGCACCTCAGCTGTCAGCGGTAAATTGAAATGTCCAATCAAATGTTGGCATTGTGCACTTAAAATAAGGTTTCCCATTAGAAACCTACTTTGCAAAAGGTCAGTACATTTACCAACCAACAGAGAATAACTCCTTCCCCCACCCCTGCCATATATAATCTACCCTCTACTTAATTTATTTAGCATCCTGAGGGAAATCAGAATTTCACCTCGATTCTAAAAGTAATCATGCACAATACATATCTGACCTTCACTATTTAATACTGACCAGTTCCTTTCCCTGGTGGCACTTGCATGGTTGCAGCAGCATTTGATCTCCTCTGTCCATCTTTATAATAATTTCAAGAGAAAGCTATGCTGTTTTAGCTGGTTAAACTCCAGCAGTACCCCAGTACGGACCCTGGGATCGCCAAGCTTTGACTCTTGCCAACCTGCGCTAATATTCCCTGAAATTAGGTAAGCAGGGAGCATCCCTCCTGGGAGACAGTGCACATTCCACTCCAGACACGAAATCACCGTGTGCAGGCGGCATACATGGAATTTAGTCTGGTTTGGATACTCGTAAGCATTGTGATTGGTTATAACCATCGCGGCTCCCTTAACTAGATATTAAGATTTATCCAGCATTTTTTAAACTTCTTTAGCCTCCTTATCTGTACAATGCATTTGCCTCTCAGCATTTTAAAGAGGTCGATCATGTTCCTCTCAATCAACTGTTCTTCAATGAACCAATTCAGATGTTGAGTCTCTCCAAAAAACTTGGAGCACATTCCTGACCGGTCTCCCAGCTCCACTATTAACAAGGTTCAAATGATTCAGAACTCCGCTGCCAGTGTCCTCACCTGTACCAGGCTCTGCGCCCCCATCACCCTGGTTCTTGCCAGGCTTCACTGCCTCCCTGTTGGGGAATGGATCTATTTCAAGATGCTCACTCTCACTTTCAAAAGCTCTTCATGGCTGTCACCTCCCTACCTCTCTGATCTGCTCACACCCCACTCCTCTACCCACTGCCTTCGCTTGGCTAGCATGGGGCTGCTGCACGTCCCTTATCCCCTTCGCTCCACAATTAGCAGCCGCGCTGTCAGCCACTTTGCCCCGAATTTCTAGATCTCCTTGCCTCAATCCCTCTGTTTTTCCCCTCTGCGGTGGTTATGGTGTATTATGGTGGTGGGGGAAAGTTGAGTGGTCAAATATGAATGTTGTCAAAAATAAACACCGAAATCTTTTACTTGTTTCACTGTTTAGAGACTTTTTTACTGTATACACACAGTTCATACTTCTCTTTGTAGTATGAATCCCTACCCACTGACCTGAGGTAGTGGTTATGATATTCATTATGATCCTCTTCTTTTAAATGCTAGCCAATTTTCAATCCAGTTGTTTGCATTCAGTGCACCAGCCTAAATCTTCCTAAAAATACTGTACGCAAACCTTTGTCACATACTTTGTGAGCTTTCACGTAGTATCTCGTGGTTATCCCGTAGCATAGTGGATAGCACACTTGTCTCACAAGCGAGAGGATACTAATTCAATTTCCAGGCAAAATGAAACCTTAGACAACCTTCCATACTCCACACGTCTCCTTTTATTTTGCAGTATGTAAACAGAGCAAGTGCTCTGAGATGCTACCCTGCGTGGAAGGCACTATATAAGTGCAAGTTATGTTGTTGTAAGTAGGAACCCAGTTTAGTCAATTGGTGGATCGCTTTCCAGGGGTAATAATCCCTCCCCCCAAAACAAATTTGATCACTCAATCCACGGCTGTTTGTGGGACACTTGTGCGCAATAGGCTGCCTCCCACAAAATACACAGTCAATTCACTTTACAATATATTCTAGGAAGTGCTTTGCAATGTCTCAATGATGTGATAAGGTACTGTATCAAACCTGGGTCCTTTCGCTTACGAGGAGAGTGCACTGACCACTACGCTATAGGATTCCTGCACGATGGGTGGGGAGAAATCAGAGAGGAGAGAGAGAATATTCAAGAAATGTTGTTCCCATTGAATAGCAGCATATTCATTTCTATCTGAAGATCGCAGAGTTCCAGATAATGTGCGAAACTATACCTGAGGGAGAAATTGTATTGCTATACATGTAGTAGTTGAGATTATTTTTGTGTGGAAAATAATGTATTCGCATGTAAACTAAAGTATCCTCCCTATAACTGGTTAGCTACTGTGATATATACTAATTATATTCTTTTTAAACAATAAAAGCTACGTTACAAATGCTTTCTGGAGCTGTTTATGCGATTTAATCAAACACTTTGGACATGGGTTTCTGCAAAGTAAAATTGGGGTTATTTTCAGGAAACCTCGTTGTGTGTTTAACCCAGTTATCTAAATCAGCTAATTGTTTTGATGTGTGGATAAGTTTAAATTTCATTTTGTCGGTGTTGCATTTGTTGAAGCAGCTTGAACCAAAATGCTTTAATGTCTTGCATGGTGGCATCTTATCTTGGTTCATTTAGGTCTGATATATTAGTTGTGTGTAGTGCACAGCTCAATAAATTATGGTTGGCAATGTATTGACGGTGAAATATGTGTTGGCTTAAGGAGCGTAGCGTTGCAGTAGATTACTGGTACAGAATACCTAATGCTATGTTTTAATCATTAATGAATCCCATCCTACCTTAGCTGTGTCCCAGCAATGAGTCATTTAATTGCCTTCAAGAGAGGAGTACAGCAATCAATCTGGATCTTTTGAGTCGTGAAAAATTATGTACAGATTGTTTGACTGATAGGACTTGATGTATAAATGTATAAATGTATTTGTGGGCGTTCGCCCACAAATATACAGTCAATTCACTTTACAGTGTGTTCTGTGAAGCGCTTTGGGACGTCCTCCCGACGTGAAAAGCGCTATATCAAATGCAAGGATTATTATTATTATTATTATTATCTGTGGCACAATATAATAATAATAATTCTGGCATTTGATATAGCGCCTTATCACGTAGTCGAGACGTCTCAAAACGCTTCACAGATATACTGTAAAGTATAGTGACTGTATATTTTGTGGGCGAAACATGGCAGCCAGTTGCGCACAGCAAAGTCCCACAAACAGTCGTGGATTGAAGTGACCAATTTATTACTTTTTTTTAATTTTGAAGGGATTATTACCCCTGGAAAAATGATCTGCAAATCAACTAACAACCAGGTTCCTACTTACTGCTAGGTAAACAGAAGCGTGTGCGTGGAGTAAGGAATCGTGCCGAACGTTTCGCTCTGTCCGGGAATCAAACCCAGGTCTCTTACATTGATGTAGTGTGCTTTCAGTAAATGTCAATGGCTCAATTGAAAAAACGAGCGGCAACTGGGCAAGCTTGCCCCCCCTTCCCACTCCCACAGTCACTGGCTCCTGTGTGACCACTGAACTTGGTGTCCAGTTGCCCCCACCTTCAAAAGCAGCCATTAAATGCTCCCGTTTTGGAGCATCTGCTGTGCGCAATTGGCTGCCGCGTTCGCCCACAAATATACAGTCAATTCACTTTACAGTGTGTTCTGTGAAGTGCTTTGGGACGTCCTCCCGACGTGAAAAGCGCTATATCAAATGCGAGGATTATTATTATTATCTTAACAGGCTTCGAAGTCTCGTTGGTGCATAGCATCACTTTGTGTCGCACTGACCCGTTGGACACAGCCGTTAAATTAATCACAAGCAAAAAGGAAACACTCGCTTAAAACAGTCAATTTTCATCTCTCTCCAAACCCCAACAATCCCTCTCTCTCCCTCCCACACACACCGCTGCCCCCCTCACCCCCACACCTGCTTGACCCCTTTACAAAACACATTCTTGTTAAATCAAATCATTAACAACAACCAATGACATTTACACAACGCCTTTCACGTCAGGAGGACGTATACTATACACAGTTCACGTGCACGCTATTCCTCAGCTTTTCTTCATCTCTAACATTGCCCACAAATACACGGTCAATTCACTTTACAGTCTATTCTGTGAAGCGCTTTGAGACATCGAGAAGATATGAAAAGCGCTATATCAAATGCAAGGCTTATTATTATTATTTATTATTATATATCGCCCACTCCCTGCCATTACCTTACCCCCACCTGCCAAAACCTTCACTTCAACAAGCAAAAGGAACCTCTATTTACTGTCCCATCCGACAATGCAGCACTTCCTTAGTACTGCTCACTAAAAGGTTTGTGTTCAGGAAATGGTGCTTCCAGATATATATTTTTATTTTAAAAAGTGCACAGTATTTATGTTCATTACTAAAATAAGAAAGTATATTTATTCATGTTATTCGAGTACTTTGAGATGTCCTCCTGATGTGAAAGGCACTTTATGAATGTAAACAACACAACGAATCAGAACAGAAACCTGATGTAGTCTTGATGTAAAGTAAACTGATGACTTTGTTCAAAAAAGCTTTCTAAACTTCTGTAATTCTCACAGTAGTAGTAGTACTAATCCTTGCATTTCATACGACGCCCTATCACGTCATTGAGATGTCTCAAAGCACTTCACAGAATATATTATAAAATGGATTGACTGTGTATTTTCTGGCCGAAATGCAGCAGCCAATTGCCCATGGCAACGTCCCACCAAGGGCAATAGTGAGAAAATATGCACTCTTCTGAAATGGTGTATTTTCAACCTTCCTAATAGTGAGCTGTATTATTTTGCAGGGAATGAAGCTCCAGAGCAGGCACAGAGACCAGCCTTTATGGACTATTTTGACAAGCAAGAGAAAAAGAATAAACCCATCGGAAATTGTAACCAAAATCTACAAGAGCCTTTCCACAAAGGAAAAAACCCTTTCCCTGATAACTGGAAGGTACCGCAAGATGGAAACTTTGACTTTGTAAGTGCAAAATTTGAATTCATTTGATTTGCTTAATCTTCACAGACTGGAGGCAACTTCTGGTGTGCTAAGTAATATTTATTGGCATTTATCATAAAATGCTTATCCTCCAGGGGCGGGCGGGGGGAATGTGGGGTGTCCTTGGGGCTAAACTGGCATGACGTGCTTGGCAACAAATGTCAGAATCGAGTCCACCCTCTGTGTCAGTCTTTAATGTCCGATTCCTGAGCCAGGTTGGTCCTCAGTGTTCCAAACCGCCTGGGCTGGTGACCCCTGGCTCATTGGTAGGACTTGCACGGGCAGACTGGTCACTTAGGACAGGGATTATTCCCACTCAGCTGCAGTTAGTCCTGTAAGATAAAGTCCTAGCAGGTAGGGTGGTCCTAGCCGGACAAGCAACAGGAAAGCTTGCCAGACAATGTTTTCAATGGCAAGCTATTGTTTTAGCTGATTAGTCTCTGGCAATACTCCCAAAGCACACTTTGGGTTCCCAAGCCTTGGCTCTTGACAACCTATATATTATATATATAATAATTCTTGCATTTGATATAGCGCTTTTCATGTCTTCGAGACGTCTCAAAGTGTTTCACAGAATATACTGTAAAGTGAATTGATTGTATATTTGTGGGCGAAACGCAGCAGCCAATTGCACACAGCAGCGGCACACAAACAGTCGTGGATTGAAGTGACCAATTTTTTTTTTTTTGAGGGATTATTATCAAACCTGTGGAGTAAGGAAACTTGCCCAAGGTTTTGCCCTGCTGGGAATCGAACCCAGATCTCTTGCTTGCAAAGCAAGTGCTTTACCACTGAGCTACAGGAGTCCTAGCCTGTGCCTATTACTCTCCAGAATTGGGTAAGCAGAGTGTGTCTCTCTATAGAGAGAGAGTGCAGAGTCCATTCCAGACACAAAGAAATTTCCAAGTATAAACGTATACATATATGGAACTCTATCTGGTTTCGATACTCTTTAGTGTGGTGATGGGTTTTTGTGTGTCAGACACCCAGCTGAACAAAAAGAATCCTAAACTACTGGCCTAACGTAATGTGAATAAGTGAGACAATTTGTAAATAAGAGGGTGACATAGGTTGTTTCTGGTGGCCTGTAATTATGATCAATGTTAGTTTACACCTGCATCGTACATTAAATATCAAATTTAAGTAATAATTCTTTGAAAGTACTCTTGCAGTATAAATCCAAAACCAGTTATGGTTGGTGACGTTGAACAATAAAAATCACTTGAGTGGGACTGCAGTTTGACTGTGAAATTTAACAGAAGTAATTTTTCAATAGAATAAGTGGAGATTAAACAATCTGGTATTGATCACAGGCTTTAAATTAAACTAGCTTTTTGAAATATCTAAAAAAGGGAAATAGCCTTTTTTAATAATAAGTGGAATATATATTTTGGAATTGACATGCAATTACTATTGTTTTGTCTCTTGCTCTTGTTCAATTTTATCAGTACCCAAGAGTGAAATTACACTGTAGCATATTGGTTTGAGCATTCGCCTCGCAAGCGAGTGGATCCGGGTTTGATTCTCGGGCATGGCGAAATCTTAGGCAAGTTTCCTTACTCCTCACACGTCTGTTTACCTAGTAGGAACCCAGTTGTTAGTTAATAATCATAATAATAATCTTTGCATTTGATATAGTGCTTATCACGTCTTCTAGACGTCTCAAAGCGCTTCACAGAATATACTGTAAAGTGAATTGACTGTATACTCGTGGACGAAATTGCACACAGCAGCGTCCCACAAACAATCCTGGATTAAAGTGACCAATTTTTTTTTTTGAGGGATTATTATCAGGTGTGTGGAGTAAGGAAATTTGCCCAAGGTTTTGCCCTGCCGGGAACCAAACCCACGTCTCACTTGCAAGTCGAGTGCTCTAACCACTGAGCTACAGGCTAGATTGCATTCCGGGGGTTAATAATCCCTCAGAAAAAAGTAATAACATGGTAATATGTTCACTCAATCCATGTGGGACACTTCTGTGCACAATTGGCTGCCGTGTTTCGCCCATAAAATACACAATTAATTCACTTTACAATATATCCCGTGAAGAGCTTTGAGGGGGATCAATGACGTGATTAGGCGCTATATCAAATGCAAGGATTATTATTACATTTATTTTTTCGTCACAAAATCACTGCCTCCCAATTCTAATTTGGATTTTTTTTTGCCACTGCAGCATCATTTCAGCAGAGCTGCTAGAAGCTGATGTTGAGATGTGACTGGCTTGAATGTCACAAGTAATATATTTTTATCATGGATACCAAAGCTTAATCGAAAATTGATGAAGAATGTGGGTGGCATTGCAAAAACAATTTCTGGCTTTCACATAGCCCTAGATATTTTGTGTCTTTCTTATTGATGATGCTTTTCCCTGCAATACATAGCAAGCCATGAATCTGCTAACAGTAATACTCAGAGTGAATTGATAATAATCCTTGCATTTGATATAGCGCGGTATAACATCTTCGAGACGTCTCAAACCGCTTCACAGAATATACTGTAAAGTGATTTGGTTGTATATTTTATGGGAGAATTGATCACTGAAGTTGTGTTAATAATGCACGGATCCAGTTTAATCCTGTAAAATACAATTATAGTTGCGTGTAAGTGTTGTTACAGTTTTGTTTATTCAGTTGCAGAGGAGCCCTGAAGCGATAACCAACTGATTACTATTATTCTCTTGCCAGATCAGTACATTTTTCATATTCAAAGATTGCCATCAACAGTACAGGGAAATATTTTATGCACAGCATTATTTTCCAAAGCGAGCAATATTCATTATATACCAGACCTACAAAGCATAGAGAAACTTTTCATTCTACATTCCAGTTAATTATACAAATTATTCAGCCGTAGGGTAGGATTCTTAGACCTCACAGATATCAAAGTGGACCAGCTATAAAAACATTCGACTTCAATAAACTGTCAGAGAACTATGTTCAGTTTTTTTTTGCTCTGATTGGATTCAATAACAAAAATATGAATGTTATTACAATTTTCAAACTACCTTCTTTTCCCTTCTCCCCCTTCACCATGTAGGTTCTAATCTCTTACACTGTCTGTATTCTAGATCCTGCTGCCCACAATGAAAAGCAACATTTATAATAATAATAATCATAATCCTTGCATTTAATAAAGCTCTTTATCACGTGGTCGAGACGTCCCAGAAAATGTCGAGAAGCTCTTCACAGAATATATTGTAAACTGGATTGATGGTGTAATTTGTGGCTGAAATATGGCAGCCAGTTGCGCACAGCAGTTGTGGATTGAGTGACCAAATTTTTATTGTTATACATATATGTTTTGGAAGGGATTATTACACCCAGAAAGCAATTCGGCAATCAACTAACAACCGGGTTCTTACATACTGCTAGTTAAACAGGCGTGTGAAGTACGGAATCTTGCCTAAGGTTTTGCCCTGCCTGGGAATCGAACCCGGGTCCTCTCACTTGCGAGGTGAGCACGGTAATCACTACGCTACAGGACTCCACAATATCGCACTGTGTACAGCTGAACACTTTTGATTGCTGAGCACTTCTTCCGGGGTATTCCCACTGTTTTGCTCGCAGGTGTGGATTTATGATGTTATCATTGATGTGGAGAATCTCGACCTGAATAAGGATTTTGAAACTAGCGGAAAAAAGACTCGGAGCAAAATTTCCTGGTGAAGCTCCCAGATTTTCCTCTTGCTCTTTTGGTCGTGCTGATTTAAAAAGAACAATGTTCAAATTTTGTGCATAGCAGCTCTTTATTCTTTCAATCCCATTTCCTACCTAATCTCCATATCCCTTAACACTCCTATTTCTTCATCTATCTTCCTGTGAAGCAGGAATCTACGGCCTTTATTAAAAAAAAGCCTTTCACCCTGCCCAATACCTAACTCTACAGTACCATCATGTAACTGGGATTTCTGAGGATTCAAATAGGAAAAAAATAAGCAATCAACATATTTGTGCCAGTTGGATGATGATGATGATAATAATAATCCTTGCATTTGATACAGTGCCTCATCACTTCGTTGAGGCGTCTCAAAGCGCTTCACAGAATATATTGTAAAGTGGATTGACTATGTATTTTGTGGGCAAAACGTGGCTGCCAATTGCGCACACCAATGTTCCGCAAACAGTCTTGGATTGAGCGAGCAGATTTTTTGGAGACGCTTTATTAGCACTTTGTAGAACTTTGTGAAATAATCAATAATAATATTTGCATCTGATAATGCACCTTTCAGGTCGGAAGACAATTTCAAAATACTTCACGGGATTTACCGTAAAGTGTAGTGACTTTATTTTGTAGGTGAATTTGGCAGCCAATTTGTGCACAGCAACGTCCCACAATCAGCCTCTTACCACTTTGCAGCTTTGTTGCCTCTCACCATATTCCCTGAAATAGTCCTTTTGATTAGCTGCATAGTTTTCTCTCTCGGTTTCTCTTCCTGTTGTGTTGCACAAAGCGAAAGCTCATGACATTTAGGTGATTGTGTGTGGTACACTAGGTTGTGATTGGGTTCCTATGAACCTTCATGGTTACCATCTGATCATTCTGACAGCTGCATAATGTGTTCCAGCTGCAGATTGAACAATTTAATACAGAAGACTATTATGCAATGAATATTATTCGCCTGTCTGATCATTTTAGACTTTGCTGTTGTCTGAATGAATACACAGAGGAACAAAAAGCTAACAGGAGGAAGAATACCATGATATTTTAGCTTCAGTCACTCTCTGACAAGCCTATTATAATAATAATAATCCTTGCATTTGATATAGCGCTTTTCACGTCTTCTAGATGTCCCAAAGCACTTCACAGAATATACTGTAAAGTGAATTGACTGTATATTTGTGGGCGAACGCGGCAGCCAATTGCGCACAGCAATGTCCCACAAACAGTCATGGATTGAAAATAACTAATTTATTATTGTTTTGTTTTTTTGGAGGGATTATTATTAGATGGTGTGGAGTAAGGAAACTTGCCCAAGGTTT